CACCACCGCAGCAATCGCACTCTACCTGCGACCATTTAAGTGCCAGCCCATGGTCGGCCACTGCCTGTGTGTAGTGGGGAACAGCTTGCAGTAATCATGAAATACTTAAAGTTACACATGAAGCAGGCTCAAATGTTCGCCCTTCCGATCCTTTGCTTCTCTATAACCCGATTCATTGTCCTGTTTTTACGTCGTGCATGTTTTAGCGTCTACATTGATGAATGGGACGTACACTTCCCGACAAATTTAAGAACACGTTTCATTTTAAAAGAAACGTCACATCCGGGCTGCTCAGCATTGTAAAACATGGCGCACACTGTGGGTTGAAACGAGGCGGGTTACCTTCTGTTGGACACATTCTTCTGGCTTAAGTCGAAAATACAACGACATTAGACATTGACGCAATAGTGAATTGTACAAACGTCCTACATTGCTCAAAAAAGTGTTGCACATTCTGGAACAGTGACCAGCAACGTAACACTTTTGAAATAACCTGCAAAACAACTCATACTCGTGGACAAGTATTGGACGACATACCTTCCATACGAAGCTCACCAGCTCTCGCTAAGGCGAGGCGGCTTCTGCCAGCCCTCCAGCCTGTTAGCGTTATATACATCCAAGGCACGCTTTCTGCTCAGTTAGCATCCGTCGATCTCTTGCACCCAGTGTATTGAGCGACCTCAAGCGGTACAGCACCCTACTTAGGCAGATGATGCAAACGCTTCCGTCTCTGCCGGATGATAGACCTATATTGAACGAACTCCACGACCATACGCGTGCTCTACAAACGACACCACCCCTTCACGTTCACACGCTGACCACAGTGCCTACTATCGCAACTTCCATTCCATAACGCCCCTTGTCGCTTCAACATCCGGCTGAGAGATATGAAACCAATACTGCCTGCATCCTGTCCTAGCCGAGCGCTCCGCCTGGCTCCGAAGTTCCAAGAAGACTAGCGAGTGACCTGGTTCAAGACGGACCGGACGAAGGCGGGTCGCCTGCTGTGGGCCCGCCGAGCGTGCTTCAGCGTGTTCCGATGTGCTCGTCCTCCGACGTGCCCCGACGTGCTCGTCCTCCGACGTGCTCTGACGGTTCGGCCGCCGTAGCTTGATTAAGACAGTACCTATCCACCTTCCGCCACTACCACCTCTAGGCCGCTTCCTCTGATCGGGCTGCTGGGTACAGCTCACCAGAAACAGCCCCACCCCAGGATGGAGCCTAAACTCACATGTTCAAGCCTCACTGATCTTAGGCCACATCATCGACAGCACGTTCGGCAAACTCGATTTAATGCTCACCCAAGCCAGCGGATCGCGCAGCATCACAGAATCACGCACGCATCCTCTCTCAGTATATCGCAAGTGTCACATGCTCAAGCAGTATCACGTGGACCACCTAGTCACCACATCAGTCGAACACCAGCCCGCCGTGGTCACGGCAGCCGAGTCAACTCCGGTCACCTCCGGCCCGAGCGAGCGGAGACGGGCCTGTGCTATGATTGCATCACCGAAGGTCTCAGATAGCCCGTCCCCGGCAGCCAGTGGGCCCGTTGCTGTCCACACCATCTCAATTGCTCAGACAGTTGAGCTTTCAGTCAGCTGTTCAACTGCGCGTCAACTGACTCGACTGGAGAGGCCGCAGTGACCGCCACTGCGAACGCAGGTGATTATTCAGCACCCAGCCGCCGCGCCGCGCCCGCCCCCCCCCCCCCCCCCCCCGGGTCGCTGAGTCTCGTCGCGCCAGCATTCCTCACCGGGCCTCCGCGCACCGAGCGACCCCGCCTGGACTGTCGTTAGTTGAAGGCTGTGCCAAGACACAGCCCTGCTGCTCAGGCTGTGCATTGCCACTCAGTGTGGGCTGAAGCAATCACGGTTACGAGTTTACGATGTAAGCTATCTACAGCTTATTACAATAGGCCACGCAATGTGACAGTTGCATTATTTGTGAATGGGTATGATAGTATACCTCATTACCGTTTGTGCGTTGATTAGTATGATAATGCTTTCCGTGTCGTCTTACCACAAAAGAATAGGAACTCTGACTTTTTAACGCTTTACACTGATGCGCCACGCAACTGACCTCACGGTGTCAATCGATCCGCGCTTGCCGCAGCCCGTTATCAAGCGCAACAATCGTCACTGTCTGCCTCGGAAGTTTTATCGCGAATAAAATAAACGAGTTTTACAATGATTTTATTAGGGGATATACTTTCGTGAAGGAATAGTCTGAAGTGTGTTCTTTAACTTTTATGGACATGCATCGACTTTGTGGTTGTCATAAGTGTGTGTTACAATTTACAGTCATGTTATGTTCGCATTAACCAATGAGCCCGACGAAAGTTTTATGCATTTTTCCAAATTTCATCGAAACGACCCAGCGCTCTGATATAGCAAAGCTATATCCCGCAGCCGTAAAGGCCCCCAGAGTTCTAAAAACCTCCAGACGTGTAGAGTCATAAAGCTTCTAGGATCTTCAAAGGTCTCTAGAACGGCAAAAGCACTAGAAGGCATCTAACCCTCCTGGGAAAGAGATCGCTCACCGCATGCCATCTGTTCCGTAAAAATGCAAACTATGTATAGCATCCGTAATGCTTTTCGATGCTTCCTCTAAAAATGACGCATCCAGGGCCCCACCAACCATCAGTTGTATTATTGTTATACAACCAGCCATAGTTCTGGGATCGCAAGGCGATCCTACGCTCTGTGACTGGCTTACCCAAAGATCGTACCATGTCGAACTCACTTCTTATTGGCTAATTATCACATCATTCTCGTGACATGTGACTAGGACTCGTTTCCGTTGGACGTAGTATATAAGGCAAACCGTCTGTTACCACGTAGGCCCATACACTTAAAGGGCTCGAAGACGGCGGGCCGCTGTTGCTTGTGCACGTGGACATTATGGTGTGGTGTGAATGTCGATGAGTGCAAGTCACTGGAGAATAGCCGCTGTAGGCTGAAAATATTTATCTCTCTCCGGCCAGCAAGAAGGACTGGTACCAACGAAGTCATCACTAGTTTAAACTACCACGCAGGCAGCTGGAAATCCGCTACACCTTGGAGCTTCTCTGGTGTAGCGTTCTCACGCTAACTTACCAATCACATTACCTAAAGACTTGTTGGCGTGTAAGACTCATCTATCGCCCTGTATTAGACTGTCCATGCCAGTCGATGAGTTTCGCCCACGAAATCCATATTTTGTCTCACGAAATCGACGAAGAAAGTTTGATTTATGCCTTTGGTTACCAAATTATTTCGGACAGGCAAACCTTGGATGTATGCTGGTTAGCACCAACAAGGCTGAACGGTTGTGCAATTCTTATGGCGCAGATTATCTGCTCTAGGGTAGAGGGAATTCCATCCGGGAGTGAGTCAGCTTTTGAAAAAGCTGGGCTAGCAGCAGTCGGCTGAAACAGTTTTCGCGAGCCGGTATTTGAGGGCTGGCAGAGCTAGCAAAGCTTTCACGAGTTTGCAGAAGCTGGCTATTGCTATTGTACTGCAGAACACGTAACCCAGTGTAGCAAAGGGAAATATCAAAATACATTGCATGCCAACCATTGTCAGTGTCACTGTAGCTCGTTGGATATCAAGAGCCTATGCAAGAATAAAAACTGGTGAACAAAAACTTAATAAAGTTATAAATTGCTTGGAACTCCCATGGTAGAGACTGTCGTTTTCATCATCCAAGCGATAGAACAATATCCCTCATCCATCGCTACAATATAACCTAACTGGTATGGACGGGAGTAACTGTGAACTGTGCGCTACTCAACAGGAACAAGCTGGGATAGTTTGGGACAATTCCCTCCAGCTGGTTATTTCTCGATCCAGACTAATTCAGATTTAAATAGGTGCAGCAGTTTAATGATCAACGACCTTTGGAATAAGGTCAGATGCTACCAGGTACGGTAAATAGAGTAGATAGACCCCGTATTTTGACCATGTCGCTGGAGCAGCATCCCGTTTCTGTTGTTTTGACTGCCTAAGAAACACTGCAGGTACGCTTTGACAATTACTAGCTGAAACGGGAATACTACAGCTCTTTCAGTTTTGGGCAGTTGTTAGCAGTATTCGTGTTTTAATGACAAGACTGTAAAAGAACTGACTGAAATGTACTTCTATGGACACGACTTTGCCGCTTCTCCTTCGATTTTTGGCGTCGCTACAGGCTGGACAGTGCTAAGCTACGTGGTTTGATGGACGGCAAGTCGCTCGCATCGTGCAGCCTTTTCCACGTAGCCGCTCTTGATGACAATATCTGACATTAATGCTTGAAGGTACCAACAAAAGCAAAGTATTCGTGGCTTGCGCTCGAGTCCGCTTGATCCGCAGCACACACTGACCTGCGGGTCTGTCAACATGGCTGCCAGCCAGTTGCTAGACCTCAGTCTGGTCCCAGCTGGTGCTGGAAGCCTTTTCGCGATTGGCGAATGATGCTTGTCGCTACCTGGAGTAAACGAGGAGGCCGCAGGTGTTTTGGTCAGATCGCAACAATGCATGGAATAACTTAAGCAGGCATGTACAAAATGGCAATAATGCAAGCAAATTCATAGATGAAGGAGATCGTATGGAAGTCCTTTCAAGTCATTTGCCATTTATTAAAAAGACTTTGTTTCGTGTTACTGAAAACAGCATGAAGCTACGATACGCATTCGCTAAAGTCGGATCTGTAGCGCATGGGGACAGTGCGGGTGTGACATCGGGCCAGGTAAATCCGCTCAAACTGAAAATGCATCATCGCGCAAACAATACCCATGTGTATTATGCACCTGTCGCGCTCGTGAGAGCCGTGATTCACGATGGTCGCTACCCAGCATCGCAGACAATGCTTGTGATAAATCGTCACCGCTATCAGACGCGACAGTCAGTATATCCAGCACATCGCATTGACTGGGAGAGCTTCAGCCAGAGACTGGTATGATGCGATCGGTTTGCTCGCATACCCCATGTCATCCGTTCTATGGAATCAGTGGATCTTATGCATGTGTCCTGCGGCAGGCGCCGGGCAGCCGAGCGACCTCTCCGCGGCCATGGATCCGCGCTACATGAGAATCGACGATGACAGCGACTCGTCGTTTTCGTGCGGGCCCACGCCGCCCAACCCCAATAACGACAACGACATGTCGTGTATTCTGCGCCTGAGCCCGGATGCACTGCAGCGAGATCTGCTGCCGGGCGGTGCTGCGCGCTGGACGCCGATGCAGCCATCTAGTGGCGGCCTCCGCAACCTCGTCTACGACCAGGCGTACGCCGAGCCGCAGGTGGCGCCACCACCCACACTCAACGACGCTATCAGCAACGGTGAGTGGCGGCAACGGAGGCTTTTTAACATGTTGTCCTGTTTAGTACAATACATGTGATTTTTGGTGTTGGAAAATGCCTTAGCCCAAACTGATAAGCTAAGTTTCGGTGCCTGGACATGAATATTTAGCCTGCTGGGATCGCGAAACGTTAAGGGCACAGTTAGTTGAGTTGTGCGGCACAGCTTTTTCGAGAGATCACGTGGATTTCATGGTGTTCAGCTGGCTAAAATTATGCATGGTTGTATGTAAATTATATAATTAAAACGCTGAATATTTTGGTTATGCTTGGTCAGTCTGTGCCTCCGCCGATGCGGGTAAACTGGATCAGAAGTTCGATGCCTCAGCTGTTAACCTATGGTGGAGTCCTTTTCGCGGTTTGCACTGAGGGAACAGCACAAAATGTGCATTGTGACGTTGACATCGTCGGCCTGTGCCGTCTGGCCGCGATGAAACGCACGAAAACACGCGTAGAGGACTGTGTGGAAAGTGTCGTAGAGTATTTTCCCTGAGTGCCCGTATACTTAATTTTAATAGACGTGTTGAAATGACCGTGCCTACTGTTATCAGATAATTTATTTCTGTTGACCTATTTGTATTATTTACTGCTGACCATATGGTTATTGTGCCCAAGCGTCTCTGCCCAGGTGAAAACCTGATTTGCCATTTGAGTTCTGTGAATAACAAAGTGGCAGTTTATTAGCAGCAGGTGGTCGTCGTTTCTGGCTATAATCTTGTCTATCACGGTGTCGTTGAGTATATAGGCACGGAACGGGGACGTACCGCTATTGCGCTTCGGGAGTGACAGATATATGATGTAACTACCGTTGTATGGTTAAGTTTTGTAATCATAATAGTGCCATAATGAAACAACAGTCGGAAAGAATATAGGATAGCTGCTGACTACTGCTAATGTAACTTTTGACCACCTCAAAATCTTCGTTGAGATGTGCAATATAACTGCCGTTTATGGACAAGTACCAAATTCATAATACCGCAATAAACAACAGTCAGGAAGCAGGAGAACAGGCAAGAAGAAAACTACGGTAGGTGTAATTGTAGCTATCTCAAATCTTAAAACTTCTCAATTCGCGTGCGAGGAAAATTAGAGAAATGTCTTTTCAACATGAGGGAACTAAAACTAAGCCATAGATGAGAGACCGTCCCTGTGATGCGGAGTAAGATTCTTGGGTAAACCCGCGCAATGTTATGCCATTTTATAAGCTTTGATATTTTATGTTAATTCACGCGGCAAACCTTAGGGACTCACGTGATATGATTTCCACCACGGGTGTAGGTATGTCGCATACTTGCAGTATGTGATACACCTGTCGCCATGGGTGGATAACAACGAAAGGGTTTCTTCTTTGTGGGGAATTCAAACGTCTTGGTGGCCTTAATCCGCGATGCCTGCCGCTCACGGATGAAAAACTATTAATCATTATGGCTAGAACTTCATTTTTAAGTAGTATTGAGAAGTTCCCTTATGAATGTAAATCATTGTTGCCCATAACGAGACCACAGTGCGAAGCGTGGGTCCCTTTGTACGGCTACTTTTGCAGCGCCTTTCCAGGGGCGCCTTACGCTGAGCTGGACATGCCATGCACCAGCTGTGGGTCATAGCACCTTGTTAGTAACACTCCAGGAACACGTTTGCTGTTAGTGTGGGCTGCTTGCACACGTTCAAAATCTCTACGAGGCATTTATATCGAAACGCGAACGCAGAAAACACTCGGTGCGTGTGTCAGTTCATCAAATTAATTTTTGAGCATCCCTGAAACTTTTCAAAGTTCTTTTTACGAAGTGTTCATTGTTTATTTTCTAACAACACAGCGCTTATAATGGATTGTCGGCCATAAATTCTTGCAGAGATTAAAAAACATGTTTGTAAAGAGATATATACCAAAAAATTGCGGTTAGCTATCTATAAGCAGGATCAGTGATATATGGGACGTGATGATTTCACATCTCCTTCCAACTTTTTGAAGCTTAAAAGAAAAACATTACCTGGTACGCCCAACGTAGACGGGACAAAACAAACTAACATATACTGACCGCATACCTGTTCATAGGTATGCAGTGCTTACGGAGCTTCTGATTTTTACGCTGTTTCAGCTTTAGGATATTTTGTCAGTTATACAACACAACGTTCAATAAAACATATCGAGGCAGAGTCTAGTGACACGGAAATTGAGCTTAACACGTGGGCGGGTGAGGGGTCAACTTGACATCCCCCAAAGTTTTTGCAGAATTGTTTTCGAACATCGCCGCGTAGCTTCGCCAAATTTGATGCAACTGTCGCAAAATGAAAAGCGGATGGTTCGGAATATAAAAAAGAACATGTACCTTGTAAGGTCGCTAACCTACGGCGGGTCAAAGTCAGGTCATGGATTCAGCAAAGACATTTTCTAGGGAATCGTTTAATCTGATGCGAGAATGTAGTGTTAGGCAAAGCCATGCACCTCTAAGATAGTTTCTTGGACTTCATAACCAAATGAACACATTCCATTGACCTAGGCTCAGGTATGCAGGTCAGACCAAGGTCAAACCAACCTGTTTTGTTACTCCGGAGACTGCGTTATTGGACTGTTTCTGGTGCTCATGATTCTGAATTGATTAATAACAGGAACCGCGGCATGCATCTTCTATGGTCTTTTGAAGCTCAGGGTAGGCCACCGACCTAAAATGACCCAGGCCAACATTTGGTTTTTAGGAGCATACTGCCTAGCATGATCTTTGATGCTTGACCCAGGCCAACATTTGGTTTTTAGGAGCATACTGCCTAGCATGATCTTTGATGCTTATTCAAATGCAAAACTGAAAGTAGTCGTGCATGAGTTTGGGACTATGACCTGCGAAAGGTCAATAAAGATCACTGACCCTAAGTGAGCACCAGTGCCTTTTGCTTGGAGCAGATATCTAGGTTCTGCGGGCACTTTAAACACCAGTGTAGAGTTTGGCCTCGTTTGACCTAAAAATCATGACCTAGGAACCCCAAATTTTGACATAAGCTAGTTCACATACAGGCCAATACGCTCCGTGAATTTGGTGTTTCTAGTTCTCTTAGTTGCTGGGATCTTAGAAGTTCAGCCCCACCCGTACGAATGGTATGTACCCGTACGAAGGGGCCACTCGAGCGCGTGTTAACGCACCTCAGTCTAGTCGGCGACTGGTGCACTTATTGTTGCACCACGGCGCAACATGTGTTTAATACAGACCGTCAGCATTAATCAGGCTGACACTCTTATTCAGTTTTATTTGAAACCCTTGTTTAATTTTGGTTGACACCCTTGTTTAGTTTTGCTTCACTCCCTTACTATGTTTAGCTCTTTCACTAACTAACGTAACTGAAAAATGTGCTCCTACAATCGCTTGGGCGTTGAAATCCTTGTTTTAAATCAGACCAGATTAACTTGCTCTTTTATTCCTGTGTTGCACCTGCCTGGGGCTGTCTCTGACATTTCGTAGCCGTTTATGTTTTATCAGTTTTGCCATCTCTGAGTGTTTTCGGCATTGTAGTATCTTCATGCAAGGTCAGCCGAAAAGTTGAAGAAGCATCGAATAGCGGTGGACTTTGTCATCCCAACCGTATATCGTTTTATCGGCCTCTAACACGGAGACTATAAAACGCGCGTTGCATAATATTCTATTTCGATGCATGCATGCATTTTTGTATGACATATCCTTTACTGCCACTAAACACGCGACATTACAGACTTTGGTTTTGCCACACTTTCTTTTCTTGAGACAGCATTAGCAAAATGTGTGAGCCTTTAGCAGCTCATAAGGGGTTACATGCCCTGGCTATCATTTGGGCCAGCGAGCTACAGAATGGACCCAGACTATTCCAAAAACTCAAACTGCCCCATCTTCGCATATGTTTCGAGCGGAACTCACCCCACCAAATAATATTTATATACTTTTGAAGCTTTTCAATCTCTTAGCCATGATTGTAACAGGAATGTGGACACACAGCTTGATGGTATTTTGACATCCACTCAACGTACTACAGTATCACCCATTTAGGATGTCAGCAATGGCCCACACCTCCCGCGCAAAGCATGTAAGACCAATTGTGCGTATACAACGCCGCGGACCTTCTTCCTTCAGAGCATTCGAGATAGAGCGTGTAATTATCGCTATCGTGCAGTTCCTGCGGCATGTAACGCTCTCTGGACATCGCCAATAAAGTTGATCGCAGGTGGCAGACAGCAGACACTCGACATCAACAAATGTCACGGATCCATCTGCCATTCTTCGCACTGTGCCTAGTGTCCGCCTCAGACAAATAATCGCATGGTCCAAATGCATGCTGGGGACGCTGTCGGCCTTGGACCGGCCTATGCTTGGTTAGTCCCGCTGCTGCTCAGTTCAACAGCAGGAGTGCTCAGCGCGTCGCCTCGCTGGGCCCCGCCAGATGGCGGCCATGACGACAGCACCCAATGACGGTGAGCTTCCTTTAGCGGGGAACCACGGCGTCATATTGAGGATGTTTGGTCATTGACTGGGGTATGTCTCAGTTTGAGCAACGCGTTGAAGCTTTTCTGTATGTATGTGTGGTAACACCGCATATGTGTGTTTAAACTGCTTGGTGTGTGTTTGGCGGCATTTGGAGTATGTTGTAACGCAAGGCTAAGTCATTTGGTGGAGTTCGATGTTGAACTGATACCTAAACTTGGTGGGCTCAATGCTTGAACTTGGTGAGCTCGATGCTTGAACTTGGTAAACTCGATGCTTGAACTCAGAAATACCAGTATGCGAGACTTACGCGGTTCGGACTGCGAAGGTGGACATATATTGTTATCATGATCACTCGAACTGTTAATCTTATCTGCTGCGGACAGGGTTAAAGGCAATGTTCTTAATGTTTATAGACCCAATGCATTTGCGTATTGATCGTGATGAACGCAAATTCAGCACGGGAATATTGTATTATTGCTCGGTATTCTGGTTCGCCCCAATCTTGTTTACGCGTTATTTGGCAGTTCATAAATCATGATTTTCATATCTGTAGTGCGGCCGCATAATAATGGAATGTTCGGTAGCATATGTTGTGCAGACATTAAATTGTCTGCGAAGACAAGCGGTACGGAGCTTTGCAATTTTGGCTTCGATTTGTATGTGTCGTAGCGTTCAACACACTATATTATTGCTGCCTACTTATTAATTCAATGATTTTTATCAAGGTATAAGACAACTTTTTAACTAATGAATGACCGTTGATTCGTTGGGTTCAGCTTAAATGAATTGTTATTCATTTAGCTCGTCTTGGTTTCATGATCAAAGACAAGAACTCGATGCATTATATTTTCGTTCAGGAAATATGGTTTACGCAAAGAACAGCTGGATATAACAAAGCCAGTTCAGCCATTCTGCTGCAAATGTGACACAAATAAACGACTTCCCCTCATTTGAATAAACAGTGTCAAAAACGTCTTACAATATGGGTTCCATAAACGTATACGCATACCAGTATATCGTGAGTTCAAACTAGCATTCCTGTCGCCAGATGAGATAGGTTACAACAGATAATGTTTATGAAGGGTGCGTGCGATTAGTTTTGTTTAGTTTCTTTCGCGGACTGTGGGGTGTGGTACACTGGGGCTGTAGACGTATTAATTACTCGTGCTGGGTATTTGGCACCTTTCATTTCTTCTGGTCAGATTATGATACCCCCCCCCCCCCCCCCACCTCCACTGAATATCAGCAGTGAAGGTATGTGTGTATCCGTGGACTGCGCGACCGCCTGAGTGCCCGTTGTCTATCCCAGTTGAGGTCATAGGCCAGGCCGAGTGAAGCCCTTCCCCCAAAAGTATCTTAGGTTGTGCTTCTGTTGAAGACAAATTGGGTTATGATTGAATTGCTTTAAAATTCTTGAATTATGAAGATGCATGTTTTGCGGCCAAATCTAGAGGGCATTTTCATTCAATCCTATTGTCGCCCAACGCATGCCTTGCAGATGGGTCCCCGTGCGGTCTAAGGCTCGGCGATTGGCTCCCCAGGCGCGTGCAGTCTATCCGCACCGTTATCCAGTCTCCTTTATCCCATAGCCCCTGAAATGATCACTACCGGTATGTAGTTCATCCCCACCGCTATTCAGTCTCCTTTATCCCATAGCCCCTGAAATGATCACTACCGGTGTGTAATTCATCCCCACCGCTATTCAGTCTCCTTTATCCCATAGCCCCTGAAATGATCATTACCGGTATGCAGTCCATCCCCACCGCTATTCAGTCTCCTTTATCCCATAGCCCCTGAAATGATCATTACCGGTATGCAGTCCATCCCCACCGCTATTCAGTCTCCTTTATCCCATAGCCCCTGAAACGATCATTGCTGGCATGCAGTCCATCCCCACCGCTATCCAGTCTCCTTTATCCCATAGACCCTGAAGTGATCATTACTGGTCGAGAGGGCTCTTATTCAAATAACCAGGTAACAAACGAGGGCAGTTAACACGTGGGTGGGTGATGTGTGCTGCCCACAGGTGTTACTCTCCCAATACGTTTGTGACATCAGTGTGGTCTAGTATGATGGACTGAGCTGACCTGGGAGAAGGCTATGCCACCCACTTTGACTCATTGGCTACCAGCAGTCACTGATAATCATGCCGGAACGTGCAGCGGTCCACGAAAATAAGGACCATTTAATTGTTTAGGAATCAGGTTTAAAGTATGACATCACTGGACGTTAGCATGGATAAGCCAAGAATTGAATTGACATATCATGGGCTCGTGACGACAAAAAGATCGTACTGTCGCGAAGTCACTGTACCAGCGCAACATGCATAACATAGAGTGTCGGCGTGAGCATAGAATGCCGGCGCAGCCGGCACTCTATGTTGACGTCAAAAGTTGTAGTGACGTCGTTAGGATAAGATACGAGAGCAACGGCCGCACGCCACGTCGATCCGACCAGCATGCTCCCGGGCTTCGACTGTACGATAGGGGTCGGCGGTGCGCGTTGCTGTGTGTGTGGTACGTGGTCAGGGAAGCGTGTTCAGCTGTCCGTGTCAGAGATGGTTGGTGCACGGGCATAGGTCTGGCGTTGCTCGGACATGCCTCGGGTGGATTTGGGTTTCTCCATGGGAGCTCTTGTCCCACCGGTCTATGGTTTCGGGAGTGCTCCTCTTACTTGTCTTGGGGAGCAGGGCGCCGCGTCAGACAGGGTTGCTAACCCCGGAGGTGAGGGAGCGGAGGCCTTCCAGCTTTCCGAAAGATGAATAGTGTCGTATAAGCGCCGACTGGAAAGAGATAAGCGCAGATTGGTGCACTTCGAATTAGGCGAGCTTCGGTTGACCCTGACGCCAGATCAGCGGTATCTGAGCACTCCCCATGGGTCTGGTGCGCACCAAGTGCGTATCTTCGACCTTCCAAGAATATGTGCGTGAACCGACGACGGCGCCGACCTTGACCGCCTGTAAGCACACAGCTGAGCACATCCAATCCCGTTTCAGGGTGCCTGCCAGACAGTCTGGAGCTGGTACCAGCGCTGGATCTGAATCTAGCGCACAGCGAAGCGCAGGTCGCGCCGGACGTCCTCGGCAACATCCCAGCGGACATTACCGGTGAGCGTGCGTCTAGTCGAAGTGGATGCTATGTGTTATGCTGCACCATCGCGTCACACTAAACCCGCTATACGTGGCGCTACTCTCTCCAACAAGCCACACGCCTCGCTAGTCTGATCATGGAGACAGACGTGAAAGGCCGCGCTGCATTTATGCATTCTGGAGGGATTTCCAAGAAACTCAGCCGCTATTGCGCATGTCCGTCTGGACGGGGCGTCAGCAACAACCTAAGAAATGCAAGCATCGCTTATTATGAAACTCAAAACGCAAACAGCCTGCGTTGAGACGTTTCGCAATTTTATTTTTTTGCTGATCGAAGCAGCTGATTACTTTTCCCATGCTGTGGCCCTGACTAGAGCTAATCCTACGGACGATACGGTTCCTGTATTATCATTATCACACAAAACCAAGCCGGTAGTGCCGATCGATATTGTGAATTGCATTCTCGATGTACGAGCGCATTATGCAGGCTTCAAGGCTAGAAACGCACCTCACCTAATGTGTGGAGGCGTGTTGAGATAACGTAAAATGCTCCTGAGCTTTTTATCAGACCACCATGAACTCCGGACACGCCAGGGCTCCTATGCCTACTGCAATATGAAACAATTACGCATGAACATGAAGCGGGTTGGGGGCGAGCGAATTTCTGCGGTCGGCAGTTGCCACATGATGCGAGCTCCCATGTAATGAACCGGGCGTCGAATTGGTGACAGAGCATGTTGAGAGTACCTACTGAATAATGCTGACAACTCAAGACCAATTATTCTTCCGTATTTTTTACGAAGAAGGAAAATGTACTGAAACGCTACGACCGAGCAACGTACGGTTTAGAACCTCGAAAAATATATATGCAAATTTGCTTATGCCATGCTTTTCTTAGGGAAATAATTAACCTGGTACGTGCTCCAGAGGTTTCTATCGAGCATCAGTGCGAATTTGTGTTGGTATCGTGTACGAAAATGGCATCTGATTTGATTTCTGCATGAAAGTGGTTGGGCCATATGACAGCACCACAGCTCGCATGGGTGTTACATTTTGAACATCAAGAAGGCAAAACACTCTAATCTATCATGTAGGAAAAGGCTTGCGATTTGATTGCACGTCATCAATCACCCTACAAAATTAAAGTGAAACATCGCTGCTATCGATTCATCGAAGTGCCTGGATTATTGGTAATTTCACCCGTAATCGAGCATGCATTATATCTGTCGCGCAATATTGTGCAATTTTATGTACCTGCAGTCACGGGCGGCGTAGCATGGGGGGGGGGGGGCAGAGGGGACAACAGGCTATTGGGAAGGGACAATGGGCTATACCCCCATCCCCATAATGGGGTAGTTCCGTTTTTCAAAACAAGGCATTACAAGTACCCACAGATTATAAAAATTTGTGTCAAGGATACACCTGTAACTGAGCTAGAGAATACTAAATCGATCTCAGAAGACCTATAGTATTTTCTTCACCAAGAGGCCCATTTTCTGGGGCATGAGGCCACCTTTATTAATGAGGCAGTCTATGATCTAGATCAAAAGGCTCGATGTGGTGTTAAGGCGGCCCGTTTGTTGCTCGTGAGGCCCTCGTTATAGCCTAGGAGACCCTGTTCTAGATTAGGAGGCATCCTCTATATTCAATAGGTCCCAGTTCTGGAACAGGAAGCCGCTTTCATGCAACAGATGGCCGCGTTCTGAATTGGGGCGTAATATTTTGCAATAAGGAGGCCCAATCGTTAATCATAAGCATCCCGTTCTGGATAAGGCGCTATGCATCAGGTGACCCTGTTTTAAAATTACTGAAACTCTTTGCTGGATAATTCGGAGGCCCCATTCGGCTTTTGTTTTAATGCCAGCATTTGTTTACCTGGGCATGGTGCATGTAGGAGTTTGATAAAGGAGCACATGCTCTCGGCACCCTTCCCCTTTTGGAGGATAGCACACTGCCCAGGAAGACTTCCCGTGGTGCTTATGAGGCCCCCTTTTGAAATATTGCCTCCCCCTCAAAACCCGAGGCGCCACCCCTGCCCGCAGTTCCCGGTCGTCACCCGTTATAGCGGGTAATAGTCCAGAATGCGTCGAATGAGTCGAGCCACTTATCATCATCAGTAAACATTTCGATCGCTACCGTTCAACTGAATGGATGGGTAATTAGACGCACGTTTGATCGTGCTGCAAATCATGTGCCACCTGAGACTTTTGCTCCCCCTATCCGGGATGGGATGGTTAGTTGCACCTCATTGCCGAAATGTGAATTGAAATGGAGTTTGTGCGTGGTTTCACAATTCTGATGGGTTGCGACGTTTCCGAAAACAACTATGATAAGCAGCGCCGGGGTCTAGAAGGCAGACGCTTTAGCGCACGTGTCACCAGCCGTGACAAAATGCAGGGAAAAGAGATTCCTGCGCGTAGTTGGGTTTCAGATTGGTGCTTGACCGGACTATGACCTGCGTATTGCAGCAGAACCGGTCCGAACGTCGCATATCTTCCGGCTAGTGGGCCCCTCAGCAGCCGACGCTGACGACACCTATCGGGGCCAGTGTCTCGTGGCCAGAAACCGGATACACAGGAGATGCTATGCAGATCGAATGTACGAGCAGGCAGTAGCCAGAATGAACTGGATATTTACAGTCGGAGCCGTTGTCGAAGTGGCCCGTCTGGTTTTGAGAAGGCCTCAACCATATGTGATGCCTGACCTCGCCGCCTTACGTCACCCTCAATGACGCAGCAGAAGCTGGAGAACTAATAAATCAGGAACAGATCGCGTAAATTCCAGATACGTCTAGGTCAATGTTACTCTGTTCGGTGCGCAGAAGATTTGATTTCTCGTGGGACTAAATGTACGAGTCTTCACGTCAATTTTTTAGCATGCACTAACTTAAAAGTAAAAGGTGTTTGTGTGCTACACTTTTGTTTGATATGGTAATGGATCGCGCGCTCATATGGCGTCAAAATAGTTTCTTTCGTTAACCAAAAGCACAAGACGTCCATGAAATGAAAACAAAAATGACTCCCTTGTCCATGAAGCAGAAGTTTTTCCGCGAAGTTTGCTAGTTTTTGATCGTTGCATGCTGCTCCTAAGGTTGTTATACTTGAAAGTTTGTTGCAAACACGGAGAACACGGTGACGGTCGTGTCGTCGCACTTACACCGATACAAGACGTCTTTTGACATTCAACAACATTTTCCGCCCGTGGTTTCTCGGTCTCCGGAATGACACGTGTCCTCCTGCTAGCTTTCGGGGTCGAGGTACCTGTCTGGTTCCAGTTGTCGCTCGGTATCTGGCATGTCTCGTGCCCAGGCTCCCGTCGTTTCGTGATGCCCCGGTGTCAAGTAAGTCTGGTGTCAGTCCCTGTCATGCGTGAGGAACCCCTCAGTCCTCGGTGTTCATCAATGCTCCTCGGTGTCAGGTGTCGTTCGGTGTCCGTGTCGCTCGGCATCCTTGTCACTCGGTGCCCGTGTCGCTCGGTGTCAGGTGTCGCTCGGTGTCTGCCCAGTGGAGGACGCTCCTCTGTATCTATCGTCTTTAGGTGTCAGGTGTCGCTCGGTGCCAGATTCAGCATGGTGGAGTACGGTCCTCCGTATCTGTCGTCCATCGATGCCTGGCGTCTCTCAGTGTCATGGGTCTCTCGCTGCCAGGCGCAGCTCTTTGCCAAGACTTCCTCGATGTCAGAGGTGAAACTATGCTATCTACCTCGATGCTACATGTGTGTTTTACTGTTAGATGTCGCTTGGTGTCAGTGTCACTCAAAGTCGGGTGCCGCTCGGTGTCTTGTAGCACTCGGTGTCGGTCTCGCTCGGTGTCGGTGTCGCTCGGCGTCAGGTGCCGCAGGTGTCCCTCAGTATCGATTGTTACTCGGTGTCCGGGTGTGTCCGTGCCATTTGGTGTCGGTGTCACTCGGTGTCCGCTGTCGCTCCGTGTCGGGTTACACCCGCTATCGCGTGCCGCTCGCTGTCGATTGTCCCTAGGTGTCTGGTGTCGCTCGGTGTCGGTCGCCACTCGGTGTCGAGTGTCGTTCGGTGTCGGTCGCCACTCGGTGACGGGTGTCGCTCAGTGTCGGTCGTCACTCGATGTCGGGTGTTGCTCGGCGTCGGTTGTCGCTCGGTGACGGGTGTCTTTCGGTGTAGGTCGTCACTCGGCGTCTGGTGTCGCTCGGTGTCGGTCGTCACTCGGTGCCGGTGGTCACTCGGTGTCGGTCGTCACTCGGTGCTGGGTGTCGTTCGGTGTAGGTCGTCACTCGGTGTCGGGTGTCGCTCGGTGTCGGTCGTCGCTCGGTGTCGGGTGTCGCTCGGTGTCGGTCTTCACTCGGTGTCGGGTGTCGCTCGGTGTCGGTCGTCACTCGGTGTCGGGTGTTGCTCGGTGTAGGTCGTCACTCGGTGTCGGGTGTCGCTCGGTGTCGATTGTCACTCGGTGTCGGGTGTCACTCGGCGCTGCAGTCAGCTGCTTCCCCTGATTTCAGCGGACGAGCGGCCGGTGTCTGCCATCAGCAAGGAGACGTCGTCGGAGGGCGAGGGCGAGGAGAACCTGCACCTTCTGGACACCCCGCAGGCGGAGGCGCCGGGTCAGCAGGCGCTGCTGCACCCGGGCAGCATCCAGGTGTGCTCCCCAGCGCCGCTCGTGCACCGCCGCGACCCACCACTGGCCGGGCTGGGCCCGCCCAGCCGCCATAGAGCTGCTAGAGACAGAAGTGATAGGTCACCGAGTGGTTGGGAGATAATAGTGCGAACACGGACCTTGCATGCAACGATTTATTTTTCCAGTTTCTCTCTTAATGCTTGAGTTAGGACATACAATTAAATGTAAACTGTCGATATAAAACGAAAATGTCAACGTGAAATGAAAATATCAATGTAAAATGAAAATTTCCATACAAAAAGGCGCAAGGTGTAACTGTAAAAGGGTTTTTTAAAGGCACTAAGGGGCATCGTGTGCGCGTAAGAAAGGAACCTTTCTACTTCCAGCGCGGCTCGCTGTTTGGCAACTGTATTACGACTAAGCGCCAAAAAGAAGTTGCTTGATTCAAAACATCGTGTGTTATGTTGGCTAACGCATCGCCTCAGCCAGCGGCTCTTCCTACATCTATCGTAAGGAGCCGTCCAAAAATACGCTTCTGATGGAGGGCGGGGTTTGCTTTCATGAAGCATATACACGAAGCGTTACTATGGGAAGGTGAGTTTTAGGCAGCGTAACGTTAAGCTTAGAGGCGGCTATGAATAATGCTGATTTGTGCTTTTCATGAAGATTTTTACAGGGTAAACGATGGAGATAAGGGGTCTCGCTCAGCGTGACTAGTGCGTTATCTTGGCGACGATAGGTGGCCAAAAATTGCGCGGTAATTTACTGACGGCCCTTGAGGCACATGCGGAAGCATAACTAGATGGTGGATATATTTAAGCAGTGTGGAAATGGAATAGGGATAACGGGCTCAACAACCATTTAAATATGCGTGAACAATAACTAACAAAACCATTTTAATGCATAAAACAATTAGTAACACATTTCTGAACACTCCCGACGCACTCTGCTCCTGGTTACGCTTTGCTTACGCTGGGCAAGACCCCTTCCGCCTGCTTGCAGATGGTGTGGTTACAGGTAGAAATGGGACGAACTCTGGGGCGAGGCCGATCGGTGAGACTGTTGGCTAATTAAAAAGGTTGTTGGGTACTTTTTTTTTAAAAATCAGCATGAAATGCAAACACGCTTGAGTGTAACACGTCGCGTAACACGAGGCTGTCTGAAATATTACCCTCCTCCCCTGTTGCGCTAGGTTACGCGCCAGAAATCCTCAATCAACCCTCCACGCGTGGCGTATTTTATGGACGGCCCTTAGGGACTGGTGGTGCCTCGCATGTACGACGCCATACGGACAAGGTTCTCAGGATTGTTTGGTGCGAGCTTGCGAAATTGCTGTGCGGAGCACATCTTTTGTTCTTGATACGGTGCGTAATTTCATGCATATGTTTTACGCAACTCAGATGAAAGCTTGATTCATCGGAAATGTTTGAATCAAGTTATCTTATGTACGCCTTATGTTAATGAATAGCTCAAATACTGAACAGCACTAATGTCCCATTTCATTCCATTAGGGCGTAACATGGACATCGATGACAAGTGTCATAGCTCATGACGGCACCCAATGCTAATTAACTTGACAACCGCTGCAGCTCATTTCATGAAACAGATATATTGCAGAGCAGCTCGCTTGCTCACCGACGCGCCTGCGTGACCGTGTGATGGAACGAGTCGAATCGAATCCGATACTCACCCACCTGGCCGGCGGCCGGCGAAGCCACGGGTGACGCTGACACCCTGCTTCATCCGCAGGGCGTGGACGATGTCATTGTGCGGAGGCCGAGCTACGAGGAGATGCAGAAGGAAGCGGAGGATTGCTGCCCGTCTTGGAACTGGCCGCTCATCCGCAACCTCTGCCTGGGCGTCAACGCGGCCGTCTGGCTCGGCGTGCTGGCGGTCTGCATCGGCTGGATCGTGGCCATGCCGCGCAAGTGCGACCCGTTCCGCAAGTGGTACCAGGGCGAGGCCATGTACGAGATCTTCCCAGGCTCGTTCCAGGACTCGGACGGCGACGGCGTCGGCGACCTCCGCGGCATCCAGAGCCGGCTTTACTACGTCAAGAACCTGGAGGTCAACACGATCGTGCTGACGTCCATGTTCGAGACGCCGGGCTTTCCGCAGGACGTCGGCAAGGTGTCCAGCTTCACCAGGGTTGACCCGAAGTTGGGCACTGCTGGCGACTTCCTGAACCTCGTTTCGGACGCTCACGCCATGGACCTGCACGTGGTGGTGGCGCTTGACCCCGTGCCGCTACTCGACAACTCGCCTGGCGCTGACATGACGATGGTGCCGACCAACCTGACCCAGTCGCAGGAGAAGGCCACCTACCCGGAGCTTGTGCACGTGCTGGAGCACTGGCTGCAGCATGGCGTGGACGGCTTCATACTGCGGAACCTGGAGACGGTGGTGAACAGCGTGGACGTGGAGGCGCTGGCGCAGGATGTCCGCAATCTGCTGGATCGCTACACGGTCGGCATGGAGGACCGCATCCTGATCGTGCCAATCGAGCTGCTGAAGGCGCTGAAGGACCACGACCGACATAACGCCACCAAGGTGCTCCACCGGATCGACCTGCTGGACTGCCAGCTGCACATCCAGGACCAGAGTCCGCAGGAGATCGCCGACCAAATCAGCGAGGTAAGCCGCTGCCCAAATGACTATAATATATCGTAGTGCCGGTAATAGTAATATGGATTTCGCCGAAGTGGGCTGTGGGAGAAAGTCCGCGCTCTGTTTTGACACCGCGACTCGGGATGTCTCATGTATACCTGTGTACAAAAGACCTGTGTACATACTCGCGATGTCTTATGTACACCTGTGTACATAATACCTGTGCATATACTCGGCATCTCTCATGTACACCCATGTACAAAATACCTGTGCACATACTCGGGATGTCTTATGTACATCTGTGTGCATAAGACCTGTGTACATACTCGGGATGTCTTATGTACAGTTGTGTACATAAAACCTGTGCACATACTCGGGATGTCTTATGTACACCTGTATACATAATACCTGTGTACATACTCGGGATGTCTTATGTATAGTTGTGTACATAAAACCTGTGCACATACTCGGGATATCTTATGTACACCTGTATACATAAGACCTGTGTACATACTCGGGATGTCTTATGTACACATATTGTGCCTAGAGCAATGCCCAGCTGGACAACCACGCCACGCGGTGACCCGGCACGGTGTGTCACATGACACGTGCGACCGTGACGTGATCCGTCAGTGACATGGTCTGGCCGCTTGGGCCGGTCGGGGCGGCACCTCACGCCAGACGCTGGTCAGCCGTCCCAGCCGGCTGCCGCGTGGGCGGAGCCAGTCAGAGTTCGCGGCTCCGCTTGGGGTGCTGCCAGATCTTCATGTACTGCTATCAGCACTCTGCTGAAACGAACACTCGGCGTTTAGAATGCGAACATTTATGTAAATGAATGCTCAAATCTGCGATGACATCATCCTTGTGACATGATGCCGGCAAAGAGAATACTCGCCGTCCGCACCGTTGACGTATGCCGCACGCTCCGCGCCGCCAGCCGTGACCTGCCCTGCGCGCCGTCAGATCATGTCGTGGGACGAGTCGTCAGACACGCCCTGGTTCAACTGGCGGCTGGCGTCCGCGGACATGACTCGCCTCTCGCACCGGCTGGGCCGCAACCACACGGTGGGCGCCACCGTGCTGCAGAGCCTGCTGCCCGGCACGGTCACGTTGCTGTACGGCGACGAGGTCTGCCTGATGGAGGCCGAGCCGCAGGAGAACCAGGTGAGGGATCGAGCCGCGGCAGAACCAGGTGAGGGATCGAGCCGCGGCAGAACCAGGTGAGGGATCGAGCCGCGGCAGAACCAGGTGAGGGATCGAGCCGCAGGAGAACCAGGTGAGGGATCGAGCCGCGGCAGAACCAGGTGAGGGATCGAGCCGCAGGAGAACCAGGTGAGGTATCGAGCCGCAGGAGAACCAGGTGAGGGATCGAGCCGCAGGAGAACCAGGTGAGGTATCGAGCCGCAGGAGAACCAGGTGAGGGATCGAGCCACAGGAGGACCAGGTGAGGTATCGAGCCGCAGGAGAACCAGGTGAGGGATCGAGCCGCGGCAGAACCAGGTGAGGGATCGAGCCGCAGGAGAACCAGGTGAGGGATCGAGCCGCGGCAGAACCAGGTGAGGGATCGAGCCGCGGGAGAACCAGGTGAGGTATCGAGCCGCGGCAGAACCAGGTGAGGTATCGAGCCGCAGGAGAACCAGGTGAGGGATCGAGCCGCGGCAGAACCAGGTGAGGGATCGAGCCGCGGCAGAACCAGGTGAGGTATCGAGCCGCAGGAGAACCAGGTGAGGTATCGAGCCGCAGGAGAACCAGGTGAGGGATCGAGCCGCAGGAGGACCAGGTAAGGGATCGAGCCGCAGGAGAACCATGTGAGGGATCGAGCCGCGGCAGAACCAGGTGAGGTATCGAGCCGCAGGAGAACCAGGTGAGGGATCGAGCCGCAGGAGGACCAGGTGAGGTATCGAGCCGCAGGAGAACCAGGTGAGGGATCGAGCCGCAGGAGAACCAGGTGAGGTATCGAGCCGCAGGAGAACCAGGTGAGGGATCGAGCCGCAGGAGAATCAAGCGAGGGATCGAGCCGCAGAAGAACCAGGTGAGCTATCGAGCCGCAGGAGAACCAGGATCGAGCAGCAGCAGAACCATGTGAGGTATCGAGCCGCGGCAGGACCAGGTGAGGGATCGAGCCGCAGGAGAATCAGGTGAGGGATCGAGCCGCAGGAGGACCATGTGAGGGATCGAGCCGCGGCAGGACCAGGTGAGGGATCGAGCCGCAGGAGGACCAGGTGAGGGATCGAGCCGCAGGAGAATCAGGTGAGGGATCGAGCCGCAGGAGAACCAGGATCGAGCGGCAGGAGAACCATGTGAGGGATCGAGCCGCGGCAGGACCAGGTGAGGGATCGAGCCGCAGGAGAATCAGGCGAGGGGTCGAGCTACAGGAAAACCAGGTGAGGGATCGAACTGCAAGAGAACCAGGTGAGGGATTGAGCCGCAGCAGAACCAGGTGAGGGATCGAGCCGCAGCAGAACCAGGTGAGGGATCGAGCCGCGGGAGAACCAGGAGAAGGATCGAGCTGCAGGAGAACCAGGCGAGCCGTCGAGCCGCAAGAGAACCAGGCTGGGCCAGAGGGCAATCCGCAAAGCAAGAAGAGATACAGGTGCGGGAGAGCAAGGGGAGGGCGATTCAGAGAACAATATGAGAGGCCGAGACGCACAGTGGGATGGTGCTTATACCTAGACATATTTTGGAACCTTGCATCTGCTGCAGTCGTCAGCTGGAAATGGCTAGCGTTGGCTTGGTGTTGTTGACCGTCCTTCGGCAGACGCTGCCCGGGCTGGACATCATGCCCTGGTCGGATGACGTCATCATGGCCTGGTCGGATGACGTCATCATGCCCCAGCCCTGGCTTGATGTTGGCGCCCCTCCTTCGGCAGACGCTGCCCGGCCTGGGCATCATGCCCTGGTCGGATGACGTCACGTCGGCCGACTTCTCGCTGAGCTGGCGGCTGCCGTGGCGACCGCTGCCGGCAGACCACGCCCTCTTCAACGCCGCCAGCCAGCAGAACATCACCGTGCAGTCGGTCCGGCTGGCCCTGGGCGTGCACCGCTCGGCCGTGCCCGTCTACGTCAACGGCATATTCAACTCGATCGGAGACTTCAACCCACGCCGCTCGTCCAACCTCAAGGTGAGTTCCCCACAGGGGGGATGGGCGCACCGAGGAGGCCGTGTAATGGCGCGGCTTCCTAGCCCAGCTGGCCGTCGCGCCCGTGTTAGTAACCAGTCCCGCATCACTACGGCGCGTGTTGACGTCTCTAAGCTTCGCGTAGTCATTGACCGTCACTGCGATATCGTCGTTGGTTGGTTTCATTCTGTAGTTTTCTACGTCGTGCTGCCGTCATTGATACTGATCACCTGGCTGTCTGGGGTTTAAATGGAGATCGTTTACGGGGTGGCCTGGCTGTCCAACGGGGCTGAGCTTGCGGCGCTGTCCGCCAGGTGCGCTACGTGGACGAGGCGGTGATCGTGCTGGACCGGTTCTACCCGCGCCAGCCGCGCTGGTGCGCCATCTTCAACACGGCCGAGCGGCCGGTGACACGGGACCTCAGCCACATCTTCTTCCGCGGCCTCGTCATGGCCAGCTCCACCGGCGACAAGCAGGGCTTCATCCGCTTCAAGGAGCTGCGCCTGGAGGCCGGCGAGGGCCTGCTGGTCAAGCTGGACCGCTGAGCGCCGCCGGGGGTCAACGGCGTGGGGAACCGAGCGCCGGCGCCGCCGGTCTGGCGGACAGGCCGGCCGCCGGCCACCTGCGGCTGGCGAGCAGCGCGGCCGCGTCTGTTCGCAGACGTGGGAGGCCTGGCGTCGAAGGCATCAGGCCTTTCCCTCCCCAAGAAGGCCTAACCCACCGAATCGATGGGCGCGCGTGTGATCACGTTTCGAGCCGTTCACCTCTGCTGAGTGTGCGTGTGTGTGTGTGGCTTACGTACAGCGGGAAGCGACATGGAGCGCATAGCGCCAGCAGAACATTCGCCATCGGCGCGCACTTGACTAGTCATGCCCACCGAGTTGGCGCCTGGCGCCCAAGCAGCACGGTATTGTTAGAACATCTTGTTTATTCTCGCATGTTGACGTTACATAACAAGCACGGCTCGCCAAGCCGGATACCAATACATCGGGTTTGCCTGGGCACCAGTGGGCGGCACCTCACACATGACGTTGGCAGGATTCCGCGAAACAGTCAATACCTGACACTCGCCTGCCATGACAGCGGCAGAGGTTAGAGCTATCACGACCCTGCACCGTATTTGATTAGACTTCTGTCCGACCAGACACTATCACTTCTCTTCTCGGGCCCAGGCAGGGGCCTCTTGGGCCCAGGGTCACCGCGCCGGACCCCGTCGCAGTGACCTCTATCACACGGTTCTGCCGGCTCAGCTGGACTTGAGCCGCGAGATCAGAAGCTAGCATTCCGCGCCGGCCTCGAAACAGGGGCCATCGAAACCGAACAATGCCGGCATTCGTTCCCGAGTGCCTGAGACCCGTCACACGCGGCGTTAATCACATGGGGACTGCAGCGCGGAGAGACGCTCCTTCGGGGTATTACGAGCCGAGGCGCTTAATAGTAAGGACACCATAACACACTGAGGCGATGACGAGACAGGGATGATGTGCGATCGATTTCACTCTGCCCCACACACTTGCGCACGGTGCGTGAATGACGGACGGCACGTGCGATAAATCAACAGTACGAGTCTGACTATATATCCTGTGCGCAACACGACCATTACTCACAGGGTTCGTACTCCCAGGAATGATATTCAGAAGGGGCAGACACACCACGTGCACATGACTGACAGTGTCCCTGGCCCAAGGGGCGCCCAAGAACACGGAGGGAGGGGGTTCTGCCCACACACCCAGTATTCACAGCTAGATTATGGAACACGAGATAAAGTATACAACGGGCTGTTCTGCCGGGCGTGTACGGTAATGCACGCGAAAAATGATCGTCTATAAATCACATGCTACCCATGACGCATGCTCGCAACTTGAAGCGAGCCGCATCGTATTGGCGTGGAACCGACAAACATTCTTCCAAGATTTCCACCCTGCTCCATTGTCTCTCAAAGACGTGTCTAAGGGGCAACATGTCCCCTGCGTCCAGCTTCGTTTAACGTTCAACGTTTTCCCCAGCAACATTAAATGCAGGGACAGAACCTAACGCTGCGTTCGAGATTGCAATCCAAGAAGACAGGAACGAAACCTTCTATCTCACAATTTACAAGAGGTCCGGCCAGTCAGTAACATTGACAGGTGACTAAACACCACCTGGACTTCAGTCCGTATAATATCAGTCGTTTTTTCCATCACTCGCACCTACAGAGGGCGCCAGTCCAGGCTCAGGACTGCGGAATGCCACAGCTGCCGTGCCACGCACAAGTCCACCAGCTGCCGTGCACAGCGGAGGGGTCGGCTCAGCCGGCCCGGCGGAGGACGCGTCACGAGTCCGGTGCAAGGGTCAGACGGGCGGTCCCAGCGGAGCGAGGAGCGGCCAGCAGGTCACAGCAGCTGCAGACCCAGGGCGGTCCCAGCGGAGCGAGGAGCGGCCAGCAGGCCACAGCAGCTGCAGACCCAGGGCGGTCCCAGAGGAGCGAGGAGCGGCCAGCACGCCACAGCAGCTGCAGACCCAGGGCGGTCCCAGAGGAGCGAAGAGCGGCCAGCACGCCACAGCAGCTGCAGACTGAGGCCAGCTCCACAGGAACGACGAGCGGCCAGCACGTCACAGCAGCTGCAGACCGAGCACACGGAGACAGGACAGACACACGGTGGGTGACCGGTCAGACAGCGGAGCCCGGGCGGGACAGACAAGCGTCCCCCGCCGACACGGCAGCAGGCACCGGCAGGCACCATCCTCGTCCCCCGGCCGCCCGCGTCTCTGGAGCGCCGCCTCGGCCGTCGGCGGCGGCGCATCACGACCGCAGCTCGCCGAACTCTCGCCCAAACTTGACGTACTGCGCCAGCGCCTGCTCGTCCACCGAGCGTCTGATCCGCCGCAGTGAGTCGGTGAAGTCGTCGAGGCTGATGTGGCGCAGCTTTTTGGGGTCGATTCGCTTCACCTCCTCCTGGTCCATCTCTGTTGGAGGCGGGCCGGCACAGGTCAGGACCGGGTCGGCCAACGGCCGCTGCAGGAGCACCGGGTCGGCCAACGGCCGCTGCAGGAGCACCGCACACTTGACACTGGCACGGGGACGTCACGGCCAGCGCACTCTGGTAACACCACCCCACTGCTCACAAGACTCAGCCATGGGCTGGCAACAGCTGTGGTCACGGGATGACGAGAATTCCGGGAAACTTCAGGAATGCCGCATACGTGTCTGCTGGCGACAAAATCAAACACAATTTCAGACTTTGTTTTAAAATAAAGCATATACATATCTCCCTACACATTTCGTCCACTCCCTTCCAATCGCCACAAGCTGCCAGCGCAATCGATAATGATATCGCCGATGATATCGGTGGCAGCGGCGGCGGGGCGGCCGGGGGACTATCGGTGCGCCACTCGCCTCTGATGGGGCCGAGCGCGGCGTCGCGAGCCAGCGCGGCGATGTCACTGGCCGAGTAGCCCTCCGTCTGCCGGCCCAGCGTCTGCAGCTGGCGCGCCGACAGCGGCTGGCCGTGCGCCGACAGCAGCCGGCCCAGCAGCGCCACGCGCGCCGCCTCGTCCGGCAGCGGGATGTAGATCCGCTTGGGGAAGCGGCGCAGCACGGCCGTGTCCAGCTCCTGCGGCCTGTCGGCGGACGGCAGGGCCCGGTCACGGCCCGCCCACACAGCCGCACACGGCCGGCCGGCCCAGCGGCGGGCCGACGCGCCCAACTGCCCGACCCGCCAACTGATGCGTGGTAACAACGTCTCCAATTACTCTGATTAAATACTGCACAATCCACAACCAACAAGGCTTAACATCAAGCCATAGCCTTCCACTGCGACAGCAGCCATGAGGTATAAGCCGAGTGCCCGGCAGCGCCACGGCCGCGCTCGGTGTTTCCACGTGCCTGTTTGTGGCGGCCAGCACGAGTATCTTTTCGTCAGGAGAGGTGGCCAGCCCATCAAACTGGCAGAGGAACTCCGTCTTGAGCCGGCGCGAGGCGTCGTGCTCGCCCTCCCGCCGCTCGGACAGCAGTGAGTCCACCTCGTCCATGAAGATGATGGACGGCTGGAGCACGGCGCGGGGTTAGAGGCAGGAGCGTGGGCAGCCCCCCGCGGCTGCCGAGATGGCTCCCGCGGTCACCCCGACAGCACGCCGCGCGGGCAGCTCCCAGCCTGGCCGGCGTCACACGGGCGGCTCCCGAGTCCCGCCACTGCCGCATAAGTCAGGCCGCCAGCTCCAGCCCCCCCCCCCTCCCCCTCCCCCTCACGCAGAGGCATCCGGTCCCGCCGCTGTCCTCGCACGAATGCGACGCTCCTTCCAGCGCCGTTTCGCAGGAGATCGCCGCTCCCACTGCTGTCCCACCAACGACCTCAGTCCCTGCCCTATCGTAAGGCCGGGCCTTCCGCACCAACAGCGGTGGCAGCGGCCGGACCTGACTCCCAGCGGCCCCTCACGATCGCAGCCCTGAGTCCCGCCACAGTAGCAGAGCCGCAGCCCTCGCACCCGCCCCAGCCGCCACCGCACCTGCAGCTGCTTGGCGATGGCGAACAGCGCCCGCACCAGCTTCTCGCCCTCGCCATGCCACTTGCTGGTCAGGCTGGAGGCGCTGATGGAGAAGAAGGTGACGGACGCCTCGTTGGCCAGCGCCCGGGCCAGCATCGTCTTCCCGTTGCCTGAGAAAGTGGCACAGCAATATGCACCAACACGGCCAGCGGAGATCCTGACCTGCTGAGATACTGACACACTGACCTACGGGACCACGACTGCGATACTCCTGGCTCGGAACGTGAACATTTGGGGAACGGCTATTCCTGCCAATATAATATGCCAGCATGTGATTGATGAGGTCACAGCAAAAAAGAATGTTAATGGAAAGCTATTCAGGATATGCTTGAACTAGACGAAGCCAATTTATCAACGATCGATCAACCTTACCTTGAATATCTCCGTCCCTCTCAGGAATCGACAGATCTGGCCACGCAAGGGAACACAGACCCCGACCAGGGACCCACCCACGAGCCGGACAAGGGTCCCACGGGGGCCACCGTGGCCGGCCTGGCTCCCACACGGCGGGTGACTGTGCCTGTCTCGGGCCATTCCGTCCGAGCCGGCTGGCGCCCGAGGCCGCAGAGTCTACCAGGCTGGCGTCAGGGACTGGCCGCCAGCGACTGGTCGCCAGGGGCTGACTGTCAGGGGCCGGCCGTCAGGGGCTAACCGTCAGGGGCCGGCCGTCAGGGGATAACCGCCAGCCCGCCGGTCACCACCGCGTCTCACCTGGCGGTCCGAACAGCAGCAGCCCGCGGGCCGGCGCGCGCAGACCGGTGAACAGCTCGGGCCGCACCGACGGCAGGATCACCAGCTCGTGCAGCGCCCGCTTCGCCGACTGTCAACAGGGAAACACTGTCAGTCGACCAGCGCCAGCCATCCGTCGCCGTGGCCAGTCAGCAAACGACGCGGATTCGTCCATCGGTGAAGACAAGTCAGGACGATCGTCAGTTAAGATGGGGCACGTTGGCCTCAGCCGGAGCGGCGAGGCTAGAAGGTTGTCAACGAGCTTCAACGAAACATACTGCCATCAACTGTCTGCTCAGGCAAGACCAGAATAATCACCCGGCCATCAACTGAGCCGAGCCAGACATCAACCATCCGATCTAAGTACGGTAAGGCTGCATGCATTGATTGACGCCGACTCAGATGGTTTGAGACGGCATGGCCATTGATGGCGAATCCGATCATTGATCACCGGGCTCAGGGCCCCACCCAGCGGACCGGGACGGCACATCCGCCGGCCGATCCCCGCCACGACCGTTGGTACCGATGTTTCTCGACATGCCACGACCTGCCGTCAGTGAATGAGCGAACGTAACCTGCAGGGCCATGTCGACAATACCGACCATGCTCAGCCCACTGTACCCTCGACGGCCCTGTCTACTACACCGAGCCTGCTCTGCACCCTGCACGGCCCTGTCGTCTATACGGAGCCCGGCGAGCGGCCGGCCGCTCACCTCGTTGCCGGCAATGTCGTCGAGCGTCACCACCGGGCCGGCGTCGATGATCTCGTCCAGGATGACCTGGGCCAGCTTGGGGTCGACGCCCTTGAGGCCGGACGTCGAGGTGGGCCGCCGCGCGGTGCCCGGCGCCGCGCGGGCCGGACCAGGCGCAGACGGCGAGGCGCGCTGTTGACACGGACAGTCGCCGCTGTAGCCGTCAATACGACCGGCGCCAGGTGGGCAGGACGCCGCAGACGCTCCGCTGCCGGCGCAGGGCGCAGCGGGCTGCGCCAACAGCAGTGTCGGCTGCCGCGCACGACCATCTGCTGGCGATTTACACCAACGACGCAGGTAGCTGTCCTCACAACGGCGCCGACTTTCGCCAGCGGTTCGGAGGCGCTGATAGCCAGAGATATCTAAGATGAGCCTTAGTTAATCGCAGATGTCCAAAAACCACGCAAGAAGAATTCTGTGTGGAACGATTACAGCAGATGTGGTTACCATATATCCACAGATCTCACACTGATGACATGCCTGCCGAAGCCAGATGACTGGGAATATTTATGTAGGTCCGTTCGGCCCCTCCGTTCGAACCTCCGTGAGGGACAATACATACCCTTCCAGGCAGCGGTCGGGCGGACGGCACGGAGGGCGACACCTTTCGGCGACCCGCAGCAGCTGGCTTTCCGCCGCCAGATGTCAGAGCAGTCGGTCGTCGTGAAGGTACCGATCCCGGCGTTATCTTCCTCGCAGAACTTACAGGCTCTGCAGTCCGCGGCAGTGCAGAAACAAAGAAAACAGTAGATCATTGCGCATAAATATTCTCTTCGTACACCATTCATCCGAGAAAAAGTTACGTGTCAACGGGTTGCTTTTCGGGAGGCGTCGCAAATAGGAGGCACTTTTTACATGAGGCAAAAATCAACGTTTTGAAACGAAAATTAAATATGTTGTTGATAATCTATATCCCCGTATTATACCACATCACACTCACGTATGCACGCACGCACACACCCAAGCACGCATGCACGCACGTATGCACGCACGTACACGCACTAACACACATGTGCATGCCATACAATAAATGTGCATCTGCGAGCAACCACATGCCGCTGGCATGCCTGTGTCAGACAGCACACATCGCAGGCAACAACAGGTCACATTCAGCACGATGCAGGCCGTCAGCAGTGTGGCCCGAGTCGGCCGTCAGCAGTGTGGCCCGAGTCGACCGTCGGCAGTGTGGCCCGAGTCGGCCGTCAGCAGTGCGGACTGTCCCCTCCCCCCTGGCCAGCGGTCAGCGCCGGCAGCGTACCGTCGGGCGCGGCCGGGCTGGACTGGCGTGGCGCCGGGCCACCGCCGCCGCCGCCGCCGCCGGTGCGCCGGGCCGCGGCCGGACGCCGCGCCGCCGCGCTCGCCGCCGGCTCCACGTGGCGCCCCTCCAGCGTCAGCATGCGCTCTGATTGGCGGACAGGGGCGGACCGGAGCCGCGGTCAGCGAAGGAGGCAAACTAGCGAAGGAGGCGGACTGGCGAGGGAGGCTCATTCGCGACGGCCGGGCGTGCCGTGCAGGTTTGAGGCGCTTCATTAGAGCGGAGGGCAGCAGGATATACGACTTACCGTCGGTGCTCGACAGGTGACGCTCTGCAAGTGATCCGCGCGTCAGTTGTGATAAGGAAGTGCATGCATTCCATGACATTCAATGGAGCATTTAGCTGCATGTAAGCGCAGGATTGACGGGTCCATGATGGTAAACCAAGGAGACGCGGCCGGATCAGATAATACAGCAGGGTTTTCACCTATCGAAAATTCACCGCGAGATACCCAACATTCATCTCCGAAAAACCGCAGATATCTGGCCCTACACGCACCACCACTACCACTACCACTAAGAGCCGTGGAATGACCCGCACCGCCGAACTCTGCCTCCTCAAGAACCGCACTCCCGCCGCCGTCACGACACAGCGCTGACGGCTGGTTTCCACCG